CCACAAAGCGACGCACGCAGCAGCGTCGGACAAGCTACTTGCACGGATTACAACCCCGAAGCCGCGCTGCAGAGGTATTTATCTGCACCATAAAAGCAGGAGCCAGGCTCAAGCTTGTTAATTAAAAAGACAAAAGCCCATATAATGGTCCCTGTTAAATTGGATTATGGACAGTAAACATAAATCCATGTTTATGGGTAACAAAAAGGCCCTTTTCCCCAGCGAGGAAAGGGCTTCACTCGGTTTTAACCGGCAGAGGGGGCAGGCAATTGCAGGCAGGGCTGCTCTGTGATGGCCCAGGCTTCCTCCTCCCATCCACCACCAGCTTTCTGAGCAGCGTTACAATTTTACATTGACATTTTTCTTTACTAATTCAAGTGTTTAAATACACCCGTGTCCGGGCTTCCCATGGCTGCTCTCCCGTTATCTCCTTGATAAAGGCAAGGACACCAGATTGTGCTCCGACGTGGAACAGTAACGCAAAGCATCAGCTTTGTAGTCTTTTCTTTTTCCTGGCCAGCCCCAAGTAAAAGGAGATGTCTCCTGCAGACTAAAATCAGATGGAGAAAAACTCCCAGAAAACAAATCCCCGAGGACAGCACAGGCCAAGGCCACCTCCTGCGTCCTGTGTTTAAAGGGAAAACGGCTCCAAGGACATGAAAATTGGTCCATAGTACAAAGAAAAACCCATATTTTCCTGCAGAAACCCTCCGGCTGCTTTGAGGCGCAGCAGCTCCAAGCAGCAAGGAGAGTAGCTGTGCGATGAGCTCGCCCATTCTCTGCCCACCCTCGGCAAGCCCCTGTCCCCAGAGGTGGGCACGCACAGGGGTCCCTCGGGCAATGGGGTGAGCACACAGGCAGAGCAGATGCCACCAGCACCTTGAGCCAAGACAAACCACCCTGGAGCCAGGGCAGGCTGCCCAGGGGCACGCAGCCCACGGCTCCTACTTGCCAGCTGCCACCCTGGCACGAGGGCATCCACAGGGGTCACTGCCATGACACAGAGGAGGGACGGTGGCACCAGTCCTTGGGATACAGGAGCTGCTCCTCTGCTGCATGCCCTGGGTAAGGAAGGGAGAGACAACACATGCAAGCTGTTCCCTACAGCACAACCCAGGCTTTGCCCAACTGCTGTCCCTCTCCCCATCTCTCCAGGGCTGCCATGGAGGTTTGGGACCTCTGTGAGTGGGTCTGTCACCTCCCTGCTCCAGGCAGGGCTGTACAAGCCCCCATTGCAGCAGAAAGAGACCCACAGGGACACAGAGGGGCTCAGTCCTCTGCCAGCACCCCCCGCTCACACCTCTGTTGCCCTGCACACAATGGCATATGCCACCGGCACCACGGTAGCCCTGCCTGCAGCAGGACGAGGGTCCTGCCCCACACTCAGCCCCACACCACAGGCATCTTTCACACAACCAGCCACAGCTTCAACACGCAGCGCCTGTACAAACAACAGCTTTAACTCCAGCTTCCTCCACATAAACAGAGACTCCCCCTTCCTGCTCCCGGCTTCCTCCAGGCATGCCGGCAGATAACAGCGTCCGGCTGCAGAAAACAACTTGTCTCCATCCCCCGTGGAAACCAAAATCCTCCCGTTGCAGTGCGAGCAACGCCAGCCACCCCTTCCCCTGCAAAGGCTGCCCTAAGGGACCCCAGCAAGATCCCCTCCTGCAAGATCCCCTCCTGCAACTGCTCCCAGCCCCGCTCCTCACCCTGATTTATATGAGGCCAAGTTCAAGCAGGCACAGCTGAGATTATCCCACGTCCTGCTGGCGCTTGTTTTCCCCAGCTGTTTTGGCCAGCCCAAGGCCAGCAAAGCCCCGGCGATGCCCAAAACCTCCTCGGTGCTGGCTGTTGCAGGTAAACAGCAGCGTAAACACCCCGGTTTATCTCCCGATGTAATAAGCACTTCCACAAAGCTGTCCCGGCTCTGGGATGAGTGGGAGAGCAGTTCTTGGGCATCAGGGCTGCAAGTGCAGCATCCTCAGAAAGTGCCATGTATTTTGTCCCCGTGCTCCGGAGCTCCCTGCACACCTGGATACGGCTCAAGGACTTGGGACGCTACACAGACCGAAGCTGAAACAGTTTAGGGATGGAACCCCCCTGGGAGGGGGTGCTCCTGGGGCTGCACAGCCCCATCCCGGCTCTGGGGTCACACATGGATGTGGGAGCCACGGCTTTCATTTCAGACGAGCAGATAAAAGCCTGGAAATCCTTCAAAATGCACCCTGGAATGTTTGGGAGCCCAGCAGCTCCTTCAGGGGTGACCTCGGGGTGTTGATGGTGATGCTGGATTTTAGCGTCGGCGTTAAGGGATGCGCAGCACCGGGGAGAATGTTTGGGCCACAAAAGGTGCAATCTCAGATTCCCCCCATTAAGCACATTCTCTGCTAAAAACCCATACCCACCCCACTCCTGGAGTTTCTAATTTTGTACAGATTTTCCAAAGATGGAGCCCAAATCCCGGCTTTTCTGTCATTCC